GTGGTGCAGGCTCCTACCCTGGGGGTTTTTAAGAGGAGGTTAGATGAATACCTTGCTGGGGTCGTCTGATCCCAGTACTTTTTCCTGCCATGGCAGGGGGTCGGACTAGATGATCTTCTCAGGTCCCTTCCGACCCTAGAAACTATGAAACTATGAACTATGAAAAGTGGTGGAATCCAGTCGGATAGCACAGTAAACGCCCAGCCAGAAGCAAGTTGCTTTCGCTTTAGAAATTACTCATGGCATTTCCTGTAAACGTGATCAACATCATCTGTGGGCTGTGAACAGGGAAACACCGTGACATTACAAAAAGTCTTTTGAAAGGGTAGCTTGCTTCATTTTTTCCATTATTTCCCAGTTACCGTATTTGAGGCGGGCAGGAGAGGCAGACAAGTTATGATTTATACAGCTACAGATTTATCAGAACCTCAGCCAGGTACTTTCCAAGGTTACGCATAAAGGTGGACAGTGATTTTCTTTTCCTAACAAATATTTGCTGTTTACCCACAGGGAACTGAAGACAATTAATGCTCTTACAGCCTTCCCTTTCTCCCCTAAGCTCTGGTTCCCATTCTGGAAAACAACTTGTGCTCTGATGTCAGTGTAGGGGCCTAAATTAGGAGTAGGGCTACACCATTTCCGTGATGCTGTCAGTGATGCCACAAATCCCACACGCCCACTACTGCTCTCTGCACACCAAACCACAAAAGGACACCTCTGAGTCTGCTTCCTACTCCTGCTCTCCAGCACATTGAGATCTCAAGATCATTGGGGTGTAGAAGGATGCCTCTGGGCTGGCTTCAGCACTTCCTTTCAATGTTTGGCAAATACAGAGGAGTGGATGGCCAGAGTCTGCTGAAGAGCAGTGCTCCTCAGAAGTGTTGTAGAAGTGGTTTGGACCTTACCCTTGAGGAACAGGCCTGATGAAACAATACATTCCAGAGCTTGTATCACAGACAATATTGACAATTCCAAAAGCTCAGGGGGAAAAAAAAGAAAAGAACAACCTCTCACAACCTAGGTCCTTAAAAATCATGAAGCTGGCTTAAAAAACAAACAAAAATCATAGCCAGCTGGGTGCTTTATTTCACTTCAGATGTCCCAGGCTTTGGGGTTCTCATTTATGACCTCCTCTCTACAACCATAAGGTCCATAAACTTAAATGTTAAAAAATGGATTCCCTGAGCAATGAGGGTAATAACATACTTCCAGGTGTCTGGCACTAATGCTGTGTGTAGATGAAATAAGGGGCATGTGTGCACGACACTTTAAAGTGGGTTAAATGCTTTTGCACCACTTTAATGGTGTTGGTGTTTGCACATGTCAGTGGTGTATTGCACAGTAATTCCAGCCACTGTGGCAAATTTCGGTGGTGTAATGCACTTTAAATGACTTGGGATGCAACAAACTCCTCTGAGGAGTTTTAGTTTGCTGCCTTACAGCTGCAGAGCAAAGCACCGGGCTCCGTGCAGCTCAGGGGTTCTGCAGGAAGCCCATGCAGGCAGCCTGGCAGTGGCCTGGGAAGGCAGGCTCCACTCAAGGAAAAAAAAAGCGGTGAGCCTGATCTTTTTTTCTTTTTTTTTCCCTGGAGCCTGCCTGAGTTGAATGGGGGCACAGTGCTTCCTTCTGCAGCTGCAGTGCCCCCCTGGGATCACCTGAGCTGGGTGCCTATGGAAGGGTGCTGCCTAAGGGTGGAGGGGGCTGCCATGGAGGGAAACACCAGCCCTACCTGCAGCCCAGGGACCACTCCACCTGCCAGCAGCTTGCCCTCCTCTCCCCACTGCTGGAGAGGCAGGTAAGTTCAGGTGTGTGCTCGATATGGGGGTTTAAAGGACCCTAAACTGAAGTGTTTTTTTTAAAACCCACCACTTCAATTTAGGGCCCCTATTTCATCTACACGTACCCTAAGAAAGGCACTAAACTTTGGGATGCTCATAATACAAGTCATAAGAGTGATAAAATAAATCTGTTTTTAAACCAGTCAAGTAGGGAGCCCAAGCTTCCAGATGCTGTCCAAAGACATGGAAGGGTTACCGTCTGATTTGGAAAGTGGGAAATGGGATGCTACAGGAGGGCATGATCAGAGCAATAAGCCAAGAAGATAGTCTTGAAGGTGCATTCTGTAGGGGTCAAAGAAGGGCCAAGCATGTGTCAGGGAAGTCAGAGAGTAAGCATTTGCAGTGGTCAAGAGGAGAAGTAATGAGGGCCTGAATCAGTTTCAGAGAAGTGAACAGGAAATAAAGAGAAGGATCATGGCAATAACAGTACAGGAAATATACAGGGTCAAGACAGCAGCTTGTGTAAAGTGGCACAATGAGATCACTGCAGAGCTATGTAATTTACAGTATCTGGCCCATAGGAATCCTTAAAGTTTAGATTAAATGAAAGAGGAATGATGGATTATTAAACCTGCACAGATGTGCGACAAAGAGGAG